TACTCTCGCTGAAATATGACCATTTAACTTGGGAAGAGCAAGTGGAAGAAAACAGACAACTCAACTATGTCGAAACAAAGGAAGATTACGACAGAGAATTGGAAGATGGTTTGCACGAACAAATGCAAGCCTATGAAAATAATTTACAATCTCTGCTGGGACAAGCAATCGAATTGCGTTCTCAACTAATAATCGAAGTGGAAAAAAGTGAAACGATATTGAGAAATGCGAAGACCCACGAAAAATATCTGCTCGCCAAATCTGAAGAAAACCTGCGGGCCAAAGATGAACAATTCGAAGAAAAACATCGAGTTCAGAATGATCAAGTGCGACATCTAAAAACGAAGTTAAAGAAAGTCAATGAAAAATTGGCTAGCTCGGAAAGAGCGCGACGAGTCTTGGAAGCTGAGAAAGATGACCTGTCCAAGCAACTAGCAAGTGTAAGAAAGGGACATAATGCTGTTAATCTAAAACAGATTCGATGTTTAGAAGGAAATATTGTGAAGTGTTTCCCGCCGGCAAGTCCTCATTTTGAGGAACGGAAAGAAAAAGAAGAAAATTCCACCCTGAACAATGAAGAACTCGAAAAATATAATTATATTGGAGTAAAGGAAAAAGGAATAAAGGAGTTACGCACAGAAGGTCCCATCAGTTCCAACGAGTATGGAAATGAATTTATCGAAGAAGTGGGAAAAAACAAACAAAGTTCTCTGTTTCCAGTTCCTGAAGGCCTTAGCGGAATCAATAGCAAATCATCAATGGCCGTGAAAACAGAAGACGACAAAGCACAGCGTACCATGGAGCCAATGGTAATCCTTTCCGATAAGAATGATGGCGGTCTGCATCGATGGACTATTAATGCGGTATGGAGAATGAAGCCGGCAGATAAAGGTGGTGGCAATTGCAAGAAGGACTGGACAAAGAAATGGAGTCGTTTCCTGGAAGCAGTCACTTAATTGAATATTTATATTGTTTGAGCATATATAGTTAGTTTACTTTTCATATTTTTATATTTAAATATTTTATAGTATACATTTATTCAACTTTATAAAAATACAGTCCACTATTAACATACACATTTAAGCCGCCCGGGAGAATGTACAAAATACTTTGTACATACTTTTGAGTGCGGTTGAGGCGCTGGGAAAAACTAGCAATAAACAATCAATATTCAAAAATTACATATTTCCCAGCCGCCATAAAATACCACATGTGAACAATTCGGTGATCTTGTGCGCTGACGCATACGATAATGTGTCAGATAATAAAGGTTATGACCCACACGCACAGATATCGATGCGCTCAGTAGATGCACAAGATCACTTGAATGAAATGTAAAGCAGCCCTGCAATGTTCTCCATTCAATATTAGAATAGATAAGAACAATTGTGTGGCTGCGACTAGGTTAAGTTAGATTAGTTTCAGTAGTACGTAAGAAACATATTCCTAAAATAAAGACAGAATTGAATCAACAGCCAAACCGTTCGGTTGGTTTTCTCTTCTCATTCATTGGTCCTTCGAAAAATAAAGAATCGACGACCTTAAATAAAATTGGTTTGAGTTATCCCCCACCAGTGGTAAGAAACTCAGAAAAGCCAAAAAAGAAGTAGTTGTTCTTCAAAAAGGAGAAGAACTTCTACCAAAAAAAAATATAAAATACGCCATAGGGGCAAAACCAAACAAAAAAGACCCACGGGGCAAATTAAAAAAAAAAAAAAAAAAAAAAAAATAGATAAGAGGACAACAAAGTCCCAAAAAAAAAAAAAAACAAAACAAAAAAGACCCACGGGGCAAATTTAAAAAAAAAAATAACTAACTAAGGAGGACAATAAAGTCTCAAAAAGAAAAAAAAAAAACATGCAATTTTGAAAAGAGGACATCAAAAGTCCCAATTAAAAAATAAGTAAATTAAAAAAAAAAAATAATAATAATAAATGAAAGAAAAGCAGTAAAAAAAAAAAAAAAACGAAGAAGCAAAATATACAAAAAATATATATAAAGCAAAAAATGGAAAAGGAGTTCCAAAATCAAAAGTTCCAAGAAGAGGAGCGAGAAAATACAACAGCGTCAGGAGATATTGAGCTCGAAAATCCTGGGGCATTGAATAGATCCGAGTTCGACATGGAAAAAATGGTACGAGAGTTTCGGGCGTTCCAGAATGCGATTATCCAGCAGCACCAGAAGCAAATGAAGTCGTTTATGGAAGAAATTGAGCAGATGTTCCTATCGCAGCAATACAGCAACAATCAAAAAGGGGACAAGGAACAAAAGGAAAGCCTAGTCGTCGAAGCTGGGAAAGATGACCTGTCCACACAACTAGCAAGTGCAAGAGAGGGACATAATGCTGTTCAACGAAAACAGATTCCAGTCTTGGAAAGTAATTCTGGGAATTTTTTCCCGCCGGCAAGTCCTCATTTTGAGGAACGGAAAAAAGAAGAAGAAAATTCTGCCCTGACCAATGAAGAAACCGAAAAACAAAATGATATTGGAGAAAAGGAAAAAGGAATAAAGGCGCTAAGCACAGAATGTCGCATCATTTCCAACGAATATGGGAAGGAATTAATCGAAGAAACGGGAAAAGACAAACAAAATTATCTGGTTCCGGTTCCTGAAGAGTATTCCAACGAATATGAAAAAGAATATAACGAAGAAATGGGTAAAGCCGAGCAAAGTTCTCTGGTTCCGGTTCTTGAACGGTATTGCCTTAGAGAAACCAATAGCAAATCATCGATGGCCGTAAAAACAGAACACGACAAAGCAGAGCGTACCATGGAGCCAATGGTAATCCTTTCCGACGTGAATGATGGCGGTCTGCATCGATGGACTATGAATGCGGTATGGAAAATGAAGCCGACAGATAAAGGTGGTGGTATCGGCAAGAGAGGCTGGATTAAACGTTGGAGTCGTTTCCTGGAAGCGGTTACCTGATATTATTTCAACATATATAGATAGTTACGCATAAATTTTCTTTTCAAATCTTTCATATCTTTATATTTAAATATTCCATATTATCCATTTGTTAACTTTATAAAAAATACAGTCCACTATAAACATGCACATTTAAGCCGCCCGGGAGAATGTACAAAATACTTTGTACATACTTTTGAGTGCGGTTGAGGCGCTGGGAAAAACTAGCAATAAACAATCAATATTCAAAAATTACATATTTCCCAGCCGCCATAAAATACCACATGTGAACAATTCGGTGATCTTGTGCGCTGACGCATACGATAATGTGTCAGATAATAAAGGTTATGACCCACACGCACAGATATCGATGCGCTCAGTAGATGCACAAGATCACTTGAATGAAATGTAAAGCAGCCCTGCAATGTTCTCCATTCAATATTAGAATAGATAAGAACAATTGTGTGGCTGCGACTAGGTTAAGTTAGATTAGTTTCAGTAGTACGTAAGGAACAAATATTTTAAATAAAAATAGAATTGAATCAACAGCCTAACCGTTCGGTTGGTTTTCTCTTCTCACTCATTCGTTTTTACAATTAATTATTTACATAGATAGCTGAAAGTGGAGTATGTGGATCGGAGAGTCCACTCCGATTTCCTTTAAGTCACTGAATTCGAGAAAATATCGGACAAGCAAGCATTGACTTGTACCACTAAAATTCTAGTTTGAATATTTGAAAAAAAAAACAACTTTAAACAAAAATTTGCTAGAGGGTGATTTTTTAGTTATTATCTTTATGAAAAGGGCCAATGCATCCAGAAAAAAACTCAATTTGGAGCGGTTTCTGGGCTGTTGGCATCATCGGACCGTACTTCTTGAGAGATGCAGCAAATTGTAACGTAACTTTGAATGGTGAGCGCTACCGCTACCATGCGATGATATCCAAAATACAATATCCAACGTTGGACTAAGCGAATGGACTATTTGAAGCACAGCTATTATGTCTTTGTGCATTTGTTTGTAACATAGAGAAAGATGCGAGGCAGCCTCATAGTTCCTCTTGTCTCATAGTTCCTTGTGTCCAAGGTCTGCGGCCAAAATGTTTGCGTGCCCAAGGCTTTGATACACCCTCCAGAACATTTTCGCGATAATATTCGGCATATATTCTGATGCCACGGTCGATTAATACGAGCGGAGAGCGACCATCGGATGTTATGTTACGAGCCATTTTTCGGCCACTGCGACGCTGATTTCGATCAAGTCGCTTCTTTATTTTTCGAACCATTTCTGCTGATGTTGCAGTTTTCTTTCGTCCACTTCCACGGATGTACGAGACACAAAAGATTTATTCACATTTAAATGCTGGAGTGCTCTAACGATAACCACTTGTGGTTTTCCAGCCAAATATAAAGAAATCCCTTGAGTTCCGTCACAAATAACTTTTTTTCTGGAAAACTCTCACCAAAATGCTTTTGTACACTTGTAAACAATATAATGAGCTGTCACTGGAATTTTGTATTTTTGAATGTTTTTTGTATTTTGAATGGTTCTGCCACAATTTTCAACCAAATTAGCTGTACCTAGACAATTGGGATTCTCGGTGAGTCAGTTTTGTCCTTGTAAAAAAATGTTCGATTAAGGTCCACTAATAGGTATAGACCCAATGTAACAATGCCTCCAGATTTTTGGTAGTTTTAAGGTTTTTACCAAATTGCCAACTCTTTGGGTTATTTTTTTTATTTTAATTAAAACGGATTGATATTTTAATTGTACATGTTCTACCCTTTTCATTATTTAATTTTACATTGATAAGCATAGTGGTGGTGGGTATAGAAAGTTCGGCCCGGTCGAACTTAAAGCACCTATTATTTTTTTTAACATAAATATTTTGCTAAAAATTTTTGAATTCAAAATTTTATTGGTCAAATGGGATAACGATTTTCTGTAGAAATCTTTCAATTTAACGTTAAATATCAAAAAAAAAAAAAAAAAAAAAGATACAGAAAGACTATTTAACAGTCTTCAATATCTCCCTTTAAACACTTTTCTTTTCATTCCACTAAATTTTGTTTAACATTTCTCTCCATTTCAGGTCAAATACCAAAGTGTCCACATTGCAAAAACCCGCTAACCTATTTTTTTTAACAAAAAATGCTACGAGTGTAAATTATTTTTAATTAAAATAAAAAAATCATATTTCAGACATGTGATTGAATCATTATAAAAATTTTTCAAAATTATAGCAAAACAAAAAGCCAGAACAACAAAGCTATCATTTAAAAATTGTATTTAAGTGTTACAACGGAAAAAATAAATTGTAAAATTGCACAAATCAATTTTGAGAAAATAATAATAAGAGCAAAACAAAACAAAAAGAAAGAAAATATTTTCTTAAATCAAATAAATTGACATAGAAATCCGATTGGTGCACCGACAACCCAGATTGGGCAATATTAAACAAATAACATGGCCGTAAATAACGATCAGCAGCCACAGTTGTGGCCACGCCATTTAAAACGCCTGCAACACAACCCGCGGCAGCGTAAACCACGAAAATCACCACCACAAAGTTGGCTAACGATTTTGGCCATTTGCAGCGTGTACCTCTGCTGTCTAATGCACATTACCTCCGCACATGTGGCGCTAACTTATCCACCTGCACGAAAATACGATTTAGATTTCTTGGATAATTCACGTACCAAAGGACCATGCGGAATGCCTAAAGGTAGGTAGCGAAATGTTGTGGCATTTGCAAAAAGTAAATAAAATATGCCACCGTCAAAATATCATAATAGAAATTGAGTTAACAATTTAATGGATAACACCAGTAAATATTTATTTCCCATTGTGGGAACTAACATGTTTAATACCAAAAATATTTTCCAAGGAAAGTCATAATCATTCGTCTTATATTGAACTAGCTGAACCTGGCACGCTCCGTTACTCATTTCGCTTTAATATGCATCTACAATTTTGTATACACATAGTTTGTTGTACAGGACATTGCATATGAACCTACATACTTCCCCGTAACAATCGGTGTCTCAATTAAATTGTTGTGTACTTTTTTTATTGCTAGAATTTTAAACCAACTTCCGTCATACATTCCAAACTTCATTGAAATGTGACATACATAGCGTGTTTGGTGCATCAAATACATGAAATCGACCGAAAACATATATGGTACCTATATTCTAATCTGAACCAATTTTAATATGATTTGGCGAATTTATTTTTGTAACAAATTCCGTTACTCATTCCAAATTGTATATGAGCTACATCTAACTCTGAACCGATTTCAATATAAATTGGCAAATTATTTTTTTTTATGAAATGCCACCACAGATTTCAAATTTCATTGAAATTGGAGATACATACCGTGTTTGTCAAATACATAAAATCGGACGAAAAAATATATGGGAGCTATATCTAAATTTAAAATAATTTCAATATATTTGGTAATTTTTTTTTTTGTACCAAATTCCGTTACACATTCCAAATTTTTTGACAGTATCTATAACCGATCAAAAGATATGTGCATACAACATCTAAAATTTTTGGGTGTACCTCCGAATGATATATCTCCAGTCCCAGGAATTTCAAAAATGTATATAGCCTATGTTACATTCAGGGGATATACCCTCAGCCATATGGCTAGAGAGGGTATATATAATTTGAAACGGCCAAAATGTGCCTCATCGAAATAACGGTTTTAGACCCTAGGTCCCTTTGGACCAATTCCATTTCAGAACATTTGCAATCGATTTAGCGATGTCCGTCCGTCAGTCGGTCTAGCTGGTGCATACGATAACTCTCGAAGACAGTATCCGATTTGATCCAAACTTGGTACATCGTAATAATATTATCAAACTTTAATCGAGTTCGGAAATATGCATGATCGGTCCACTCCTTCTGGTACCTACCCCACAAAAGGTCGAAATTTCAAGATAATATTTTACTGCACAGAAAGAGAAGGGATAATCCGATTTTTCTCCAACTTTGCAAATCCTAATATTTGCATCAGTGCTAGGTCAGGTGCGAAAATCAAGTACAAAGAGTCAACAGTTTGAATAATTATAACTCTTATAAAATGTGATGTTAGATTCAAATTACACACATCACAATATTTTTATTAAACCAAGGTTTGGTGTAAAAATGGAATATATCGGACCACTCCTTCAGGTACCTCCCCCACAAAGGGTCAACATTTTTAATAACTACAAAACTTATAAAACACGAAATTAAAATCCGAAACGATCATAAAATCCGAAAAAAGCATCCGGTTCTGTTCATATTTCACACATTCCATTATTTCTACTAACACTAGATCTGATGTGAAAGTGGGATATAACGGCCCACTACCCTTACATCATCCAAACGGTTTTACATTTTGTTTTATACCCCACCCTCCAAAATATGGAGGGTATATTAACTTCAGTTTGTAACTCCTCGAAATACTCACACCAGACCCAACAAAGTATATATATATATATATATATATATATATATATATATATATATATATATATATATATATATATATATATATATATATATATATATATATATATATATATATATATATATATATATATATCTATATATATATATATATATATATATATATTTTGCACACATGTTTAATTTTCTAGTAGGCAGGTTAAGTCCGTAGATGGGCCATGTAGGTCCAAGTTTTCATATAGCCCCCATATATTTGGTATTTTAATGATTTTAGCGACATTATTTACCGGAAAATTTTCCAAATTCGTTCCAAATGGTGGAGGGTATTCAAAGTTCGGCCCGGCCGAATTTAAGCAGCAAGTACATAAGAAGCTTGAAGTCGTGGCTAGGCATATTTTGTGAAATTTCATAAAGGGAGTACAGAGCCTCACTAAAATCCTGCCGTCGTTATCCATTATAACTTGACATTAATATGCCTAGCCTTGACTTCAAGTTTTTTATGTACTTGTACCCTTACTGCTTTTTTACTTGTTCTTGTCTAAATGAAAATCTTTTTATTTTGTCTTTTGCAAAGCTTTGTGTGAGTAAGTCGTCAATTTTGAAGATCAATAAAATATATTGAATTGCAAAACCATAATTAAATTATTTTAATAAACAAAGTGGAAACCTAACAATTTTCAACCCGCTGAAAATGTAGACTTATGGACTTAAAAGTAAAATAAAAATAGGCATTACTAATCAGGTTAACAACACATTATTTTAATCAAGACCAGACGCACGAAATATGTAGTTATTTTTTGGGATCCTTTTACTTTTTTGCCGGTACCAACATGATTATTCTCCATTGAATATTGGCAAGATGGTGACAGTCCATAGTCGATACATAAATTTTTAAATTTCTCATTATTGCTTCTTTAAGAATATGCTATAAAAACTCTAATAGTTTTTCTTTTCTCTAAACACATTGATTGCAATGCCTATTTATTGCCCAAAAAATACTCTGATCTTTGCATTATTATATAATACCTAAAAAATTATATATATGAAATATTAAGTAATCCAAAATTAATTCACTTTTGCTCCCAGCTCCCTTCAATAAATCCAATTTTTAATATAAAAATTATGTTTTTTTTTAACATCAATGAACAGCATCACAACAGACAAATTTTCCTTCTCCTTTTCATGGTTTGTTTTGTATATTTGCATTTATGAGAAAATCGTGGGAAATTTAGCGGGTATTTCTTTTTGTTTTTTTTTTTTCCTTCGATACGATCAGCAGACAGACGAAATGTATAACAGTAACCCACAACCAGCAGCTACAAAATAAATGCTCAACGAAAAATATAAAGCATTTAAACGTTCCCAGAGACAAGAGTGCCTTGTTACCGTTAACAAAGTTGGAATTAAACCAAATGGCTTGGCTTGTTTAGTTTGCTGTTCAGTGTTGCAGTCAGTCTGCAAAAGCAAAAAAACAAAACAACAAAAATAAACTGGGTCAGATGACCTTCAACTCACAAACCAAATTTCATAATGAAAAAAATTCGATAGATTTACATTTCAGAGCCAACTACAAAATAGACGAAACATGATATGCTGATCCAAATATTACACAAGCGAATTATGCCGGGAATTAGTTCTAATTAAAATTCAGGGAATTAGTTCTAATTAAAATTCAAAAATGGAGTAAAGTTTTATTTGACGGTTTTAAGTCAATGTTTTCAATGAATTTCTTTTCGATGCATTTTCTCTTCTATGCCATGTCAAAAATAATATGATAGATAATTTAACACAATTGTATTATGGTCATTAATTTTTGAATGCTTCGATTGTGTTTTTTTAGATACCAATTCTTTATGCTTTCTCTGCAATTCATAATATTCTAAACTACCGTTTTTCTTTGTTATATTGACAAAGTTCTAAGGCCACTGCATTTTTATAACCTCAGCCTCAGTAAATCGTGCCTTATAGAAATAACGGCTTTGGACCCTAGACCCAAAGGTGTCAGAGTGTCCGTATGGCTAGCTGGTTCGCACGATAACTCTCGAAGATAACTCTCAATTTGGTCCAAACAATATCGGTCCACTCTTTGTGGTACCTCCCCCACAAAATGTCAACATTTTCACAGAAAATAATTTACTTTATAGAACAAGAACGGATCTCCATATTCTGAACAAACTTTGTAAATCCAAATATTTTCGAAAATGGACAATATCGGTTCACTCCATCAAGTACCTCCCCCACAAAGCGTCAACATTTTGAATAATCATAGATCTTATTCTCTTTAAACTTAGTATATCTCAAAGATTGTCTTAAGTCGAGATCTTATGTGAATATCGGCCCTCTGGTATTGAAAATGGGTCAAATATCGTTAGTTTAAGGTTGTTTTGAGCGTTAAAATCATAGTTTTGAACCGGAATGTCCGTAAATTGGCAGTTGTGTTTGCAGTATGTGAGGAACATCCGTATAGGACTATTTTTTGTTGTAGATACCAAATATTTGTACCTATCTATATTCGATATTTTCCTTGGTATTTAAAGTTGGTTATACAGGCCAACCTTTTTACTATAGTCTTCATATACCGATTTTTGGTATTTCTAAGATTTTAGCTGCATTTTCAACGAAACTATCTCGAAATTTGTATTTGGAGTTTGCAATTTGTTCCACCACCTGTGGTAAAATCTGCCTATGCAGGTCCACCTTAGAATTGGTATTTGGAGTTCGGTGCCCCTCTGTCTGCCTTTCTTTCTAACTGGCTAGTGCGCTCGAAATTCACGAAGGGGGTATACGATTTCTTCCGAACTGGGTACGTCGTAATATTTTCACTAAACTTAGATCTGGTTTGAAGATGAGCAAAACAAGTCAATATCGGTTCAGATTTGGATATAGCTCCCACATAAATCTTTATCCAATATCAGGTTTATTGTGCACCAAGTGGCTAATATCAGCCCTACCGAACTGAAACTTAGCAATTCCGACTGAATTTATCCCAGAAACAAGTACCTCAAATTTTACGAAAATCGGTTCAGATATAGCTATAGCTCCCATATATATGTTTCATCCGATTCGGAGTTTTGAGTCCCTCACATGCGTAATATGCATTCCACAACAATGATTTTTGGTAACAGATATCAAATACAGCTCTGTAATAAGTATCTGAAATGTTGTGAAGATAGTTTCAGATTTGGATATTGCTCTCATATATATCTCTATCCGATACCAGGTTTATTGTGCACCAAATGACTAATATCGGCCCAAATTAAATTC